AGTACAAGTTAAAATTTATTTAAACTATAATATAAAATTCAGAGTTAGGAGCTGGCTCGACTTGACCTCCAGCTAAAGGTAAAATAAAAACAGAACTTTCTCGGCCCTGTTTGGTTAGTGAATTTTTGTAGAATGATTGGTTAAAAAGTAGGAAAAAGTTTTAGATTTACGTATATAATATTTTATTGTGTGAATGTGTAGTTGAAAATGAGGACGTAGAAAAAAAGAGTTTTGAAATAATGAATGCAGGGCATAGTCCGACAGGGCATAGTCCGACGGCGGGATTACTTCCCACATATAATTAGATTTCTCAAGTATTTTTCTATACATACCTGCCCATGACAGATTGTAGCATGTTCAAGTGCATTGAAGAAATAGAGAAATCGCCCTTGGGAAGATCACCCATGTATACAATGAATACCTGCATGCAAATCTTAATATTTTAGCGACAAATATAACAATTCATTGTCTTTTTCATCATACATATATTTACACAAACATGACTAGATTTTGTATATGCATGTGCATGTTGATATATACACGAGAAAAGAAATTCAAAACGTGCCTTTTCATTGGCATCAGACTCTCCACTGCAGTTAACCAGCAGAGTGCAGACGAGAGTTATGAAGAGGAGAGTCCGCGAATGAGAAGTTTGAGAAGCCATAAAGAATATTTGCTAAAAAATGGGATTACTGAAATGCTTATAATTCATGCATGTAATCTCTGAATTTATACGGACGGATAGTTTTTTTCAACGTATGGAATGTTGAATAAATATAGGTATTCCCGCCTATCCTCCTATGCCATTGTACAGACCAAAGACGGCATTGTCTGAGAGGCTTAAGTTTGAAATTTACGTTGTTAATGTCGAACAAAAGGAGCTGCCAAATTATTTTGGATTGTTTGTCTGAAAATTTGAACGCGTTATTTTTGGATTTGCCAGGTAATTATTAGTCTTACTAGTGCTAAGCAACCCTAAGAGGAAGAAACACGGAAGCAATTATTTCTCTAATGGTCCGTTTGATAGGCAAATGTGGAAAGTAATTTCAATTTCATATTAGTTAGAAGATAAAAACCCACTTAATTCATAGGAATTCGATTTCCATGAAAATAAAGAAAATGCAACTTAAAGTAGTTGTACATTGGAATTCAATTTCGATTGCCACGTTGCAATCAAACGGCCAAAGTGGAATTCGTTTTCCTTGGTCGTGACATTTTCCATGGAATTCGTTGCAATCAAACAATACCTAATATCTTTCTTTTAATTGGACGAATAAAAA